GCCCAATTGGGTCCACCGATCGTCGAACGCGATGCGATAGTAGCGTTTTGCGCGCTCGGGTTTGCCCCCCCCCCCCCCCCCCTCCCGCGGCCCTCAAGAAGCCGCGCACCAAAGGTCACTCTTGCCCAGGGTCATTCTTGCGTGTAGCCGAAAAAACGACTCAGGATGAGAAACCGGTCCCAGGGAAGGGGTCGAGACCTCTGGGGGACGACGCCATGAAACAATCATGACGTCGGGGGTCTGGGGTTGTGGCATCGCTCTGCTCATTCGGCCGGCCCGTTTCTGGCTGCGCGGTGGTGTGCTCGCGCGAGGGGGACCGGCAGGGCAGGCAGGAATATCCTCGAGGAGATCTCTGGAGACGTAGCTCCCACCCTGTCGGAGAGAGCCGAGCGGCTGCCAGGGCTACTCTTGCGCGCCGCCAGGTCTCCGAGCGGGTTCCTCGATCTGGGCCCCGGGGGGCCATCAGAAACAGATCTGGGGCGGAAAACTGCCCTCAGGGAAGAGGGATCGGCACATCTGGCCTCCGCGGGGTCGGGAGGTTGGGGAGGAGGAGGAGGAGGAGGAGGAGGAGGAGGAGGAGGAGGAGGAGGAGGAGGAGGAGGAGGAGGAGGAGGAGGAGGAGGAGGAGGAGGAGGAGGAGGAGGAGGAGGAGGAGGAGGAGGAGGAGGAGGAGGAGGAGGAGGAGGAGGAGGAGGAGGAGGAGGAGGAGAGAGGAGGAGGAGGAGGAGGAGGAGGAGGAGGAGGAGGAGGAGGAGGGGGAGGGGGAGGGGGAGGGAGGAGGAGGAGGAGGAGGAGGGGAGGGGAGCAGGAGGAGGAGGAGGAGGAGGAGGAGGAGGAGAGCAGGAGGAGGAGGAGCAGGAGGACGAGGAACGCTTCAGCCACGTAGCTAAAGTCTGAGCAACGTCGACAAGGAGGCGGATGAGGAGGAGGAGGAGGGATGGATGATGATGATGATGATGATGATGATGATGATGATGATGATGATGATGATGATGATGATGATGATGATGATGATGATGATGATGATGATGATGATGATGATGATGAGGAGGAGGAGGAGGAGGAGGAGGAGGAGGAGGAGGAGGAGGAGGAGGAGGCGGAGGGGAAGAGGAGGAGGAGGAGGAGGAGGAGGAGGAGGAGGGAGGAGGAGGAGGAGGAGGACGAGGAGGAGGAGGAGGAGGAGGGGGAGGGACCAGCCAGGATCGGTGTCCGTGCTTAGGCTAGGGGCTACCAGCGAATGGCCAAGCGAATTGGTCAGGCCAAACGGGCTCTTCCTGCCGAAGCCGGGCGGGGGGCGGGCCCACTGGACAGGCGACCTATCTGGCTGCTGCCGACGCTTTATCGTCTGTGGGCGGCTGGGCGGGCCCGCGACTTCGCGCGCTAGCGGCTGAGCTGGGCTGGAGCAGACGTCCAATTGGGGGCCGAGGAGCTGGCCTGGGAGCTCGCCCTTGAGTTGGAAGCGGCGGAAACGATGTCGAAATCCATTGCTGGAGCCGCACTCGACTGGTGCAACGCATGCGACCAAGTGAACTTAGCGTCACTGCCGGGTCTGCTGCGGCGGGCGGGCCGGCGCTCGGCGCGTACTCGGCTCGCCGGCGGATTCGCGTCGGGCGTGCAGTCGGCGGTCCGTGGTTGCCCAGTTCTGGCCTGCTCCCAGGGTGCGCCCTAATAGCCATATTCTTCCTCAGCGTCCTGACGCTCCCTTGGCACTGGCTCGCCGGGGCCTTGGATGGAAGGCTCCGGCGGCGGACCTACGTGGACGATTTCACGCTGTGGATGCGCGCGCCGGACCGCAATGGGCTGGGAGCTCAACCGACGGAAAAGCCAGCAGTCCGACGGCACCGGCGAGGTACGACGCTGGCTTGCCGCGTAGAGTCCGGCGGGGGCGGCTGGCGCCACCATCCGGGACCTCGGGGTGGATGCCCTCGCCGGCGAGGCCACGGGCGCAGCGCCGTGGCGGGGCGGCGGATGGCCGAAGCCAGGCCAGGAACCGCTCTGCCCACAGCGCTCGCCTGCCCGTCGGTCTCGGCCAGCGGTGCATGCTCGGCGCGGCGGCGGGCACGGCTGCCGGCCTGTGTACGGCGCAGCGTGCGGCCGGCCTCCGGGGGGCGAGCTGCGGGGGCTCTGTGCGGCTGCCTGGGACGCAGTATGCCGTTGCGGCGGCTTTCGGGCGGCCGCGGAGGTCGTGTTCGGCGCGCTGGGTCTCCCAGCTGGCGCCTCGACCCGGCCGCCGTGGCGGCCATCGCCCCAGTCTGGTACATCGCGAGGGCGCCCCCGTTGCTCGCCCCCCAGTGGACAGCAGAAGCGTTGGGACCACGAGATCGCGAAATTCTTGGAAGTCATGAGTCTGATCGACCAGGACAAGAGACCACTCGATGATACTGGATGCGAGGGGTGGTTTCCACTGGCGTGCGACACCTGCACTTGGCAGAGGTTCGGAGACAAGTTTGTACAGGACGCTGTGGACCATCACCTACAGCTCTCGGCCTCCACCTGTCGACCTCCCACCCCTCCCGACCGACCTCCAGCTTCCAACCTTCCACTTCCAGCTTTCGAACTCCACAGATCGACCACCCACCTCACCGGACCGATCCCCATCTCCAACCCCCGATTCTCACCATCCACCGACAGCTGACGACAGGCTAACTTCCACCTCCAACTTTCGACCCCCACCTACTGGTCTCCACCTCACCGGACAGACTTTTGACTTACAGTTTGCGACTCCCAGCGCCAACCACCAGCTACAGCACGTCTTGCACTTCCAGCTTTCGGCCTCCATCTTGACCTTCCGCTTCATGTGGGTGACGTCTACCCTCTAGCATCCGACTACCAGCATTCACATCCAAATACCAGATTTTCAGCCTCAAGGGCCAGGTCTTCTGGCAGAACGGTCCACACGGACAACATGGATCGAGGGCCCCCCCCCCCCCCGCGCAGGCCTGGAAGGGCCCCGCGTTCGGCGGAACCGCGCGCTCGCCTCGCCTCGCCTCGAAGCGGGATGGGTCAAAGGGCATCTCGACGCGGCCAGCGCCAGGGCCTGAGGCATGACTGAGGAGGACCGCCTCGGCAACGCCGCCGCTGACCGGCGAGCGGTCGCAGCCGCGGGCGCGCGCGGCTCGCTGGGCGGGACAACCGGCTGCGCGCCCTGGTCGTCGCGCAGCGGCTGCTGGCAGAGGTGGATCTGGCAGCGCTGAAGGTCAACCGTAGCAGCGCCGACGTAGCCCCTCGGGCGCGCAGACCGCAGCGCCGGCGCCGCGGCCGGCGGGGCGTGCTCGGCGCGCAGCCAGGCGTGCCGCCGCAGGGCCCTGCGGCCGGAGCTGCCGCAGCACCTGCGCCGCCAGGCAGCGCGGGCGGCGGCGGCGGCAACAGGACCCGCTGCGCCGCTGTGTTCGCGGGGCAGGCCTGGCAGCTGCACGCCGCCACGCAATGGCCCTGGGTGGGTGGCCTGCACGCCCCGCTGGGCGTCCGCGCCCACGTGGCCACCGTCGGCGGCGACGCCGAGCGGGGGCTGGGTCGTTGCGTTGCGGTCCGATCCGTGGTGGGCTTTGGGAAGCCCGAGGCGGGGGCATGGAAACCCGCTTGCATTTCTCCCCGGCGCCGGGCCCCCACGACGTCAGACGCCGTGACGTGTTTATTTGTTGCTCTGCTTTGTTTTGTGTTCACGACGCGCACCGAGACATACTTTGATACTTATGTTTTTTTACAGTCCGCGGGCAGCTCCCGAGCTCGTTCCTGGGGGGTATTTTCTCGCCCCCGATCCATTTTGACCCGATGGCCAGCCCCGGAGGCCGCAACCGACGAGAAGCTGCCACATTGAAAAACCAGGTCGTCGGAGGTCTGGGAAGGTTTCTGGGCCCGGATCTGAGCCCCCCCCCCCCCCCCTCAGGACTCAGAAGGGGTATGCATCGCTCCCCAATCGCCGCTCTTTGATCGCCGAGAAGAGCCCGATAGCCCGCCCCGCCCAAGATTTTGCGAATTCGGCATCGGGGGCCCATCGCCGATCTATCGTATCGCCGATTCCAGGTCGATGTTTCCCGCCACTTCCGTCACCCCCTGCGCCGGCCCCCCCCCAACGCTCCCCTGAGCTGAGCACCGTTGCCACCGCAGCGCGTGATCGCAAATAGTTTGCACTAGTAGCTGCAGGTGTGCATGCATGCATGCATGCATATTTTTACTGCGGGGGGGCGTTGGTTCAGGGATGTGCCCAAGAGGCTTCAGACCCTGGAAGATTCCTCATCGGAGGAGGGCGGCGGTGGTATTGGGATGACTGCGGGGGCTTCTAAATGGATAAGGGGGGTTACAAGCCTCTGTGGGTTATACCTGGCACACCCTGGCTTACAAGTGGGTTACACATGCGTCTAGGAGCTTGGGCTCCGCCCACTAAGCGGAGTTATCTAAGACTTCGAACCCACCCAGGGAACTTGTAACCCACTTATAAGCCAGGTTGGGCCAGACATAACCCACCTTAGCATCCACTTGTAACCCCCCTATCCACTTAGAACCCCCCACGGTCATCGCAATATCTATGGCCAACCCACGAGTGGAGCTCCACCGGCTTCCAGACCCCGGGTTGCTTCTCCTACGTTTCTTCACCCAGCGACTTCACCGCATCGCACGCACTTGCTGCGCGAGCTGGAGCCGCCGAGGCTCGAATCTAGAACTCACCAGACACGTCCAAGAGCCATGTTCAGGGGCAACGATAGGGGGGGATAGGCATAGGGGGGGATGCATCGACTCATTAATCGCCGATAGGGGCCTGATAGCCCCAACCTGCCCAGCAAGATGCGGATACATTATCGGAGGCCTATCGCCGATCTATCGGCGATGTATCGCCGATTCCAGGTCGATGCATGCATCCCTATGCCAGACCCCCCCCTATCGTGCCCCTCACATGCGGAACAGAAAATCATGGCGTGCGAGCTCTTTGGCTTCATCAGGATGACCCCGCTGTAGAACAAGTGCAGTATGGGAGGGGAGCGAGGACGATCTGGGAGAGACCG